AATAAATCAAAAAATCAGCCAGGTGTGGTAGCGCATGCCTGTAATTCCGGCTACTTGGAATGCTGAGGCGGAAGGATCGCCGGAGCCCAGCAGGTCGAGGCTGCGAGGGCCGGGAGCGGCCACTGCACTCTAGTCTGGGTGACAGAGTGAGACTCCAACTCAAAAACAAAAACAAAAACAAAAGCAGTGTCTCTTCCCCCAAGAAGTAGGGTGAAATCATGAGCCCCACATCAGACCGCCTGACTGCCACCTTCCCTGACTGACCACTGCCTCCCGGCTGGCTGCAGGAGGACCCCCCCATTCCAAGCACAGAGGCTGCTGCATCTCAGGGCCTTGGAGGAGGAAGAGGCGGCCTGGCCTCTGCCCTCTTGCCCCAGGGCCCAGGTAGCCCTGAGTCCACAGGGGTAATACGATGCCCCTCCTCCCCAGGTCACACACCTCCTCATCAGGCGGCCCCCGCTGTTCCACTACCGACCGGGTGACTATGTGTACCTCAACATTCCCACCATCGCACGCTATGAGTGGCACCCCTTCACCATCAGCAGTGCCCCTGAGCAGAGAGGTAAGGTTCAGCCGACACTCCAGCCATCCGGCAAGTGTCCCCTGATTTCCCACTGTGTGCCACATGCAGCCCAAGACTCAGGATAGGTCTGTGAACATGACCAGAGACACAAAGTCGGCCTCTGATGGCACTCTTTGGCCGAGTACGGTGGCTCACGCCTATAAGCTCAGCACTTTGGGAGGTGGAGCAGAGAGGACTGCCTAAGCCCAGGGGTTTGAGACCAGGTTGGGCAACATAGGGACCTCATCTCTACAAAAAAAAAAATCAAAACATTAGCCGGGCACTGTGGCACACTCCTGTGGTTCCAGCTACTCAGAAGGTTGAGACGGGAGGATTTCCTGAGCCCAGCAGGTTGAGACTGCAATACCCATGATGTGTCACTGCACTCCAGCCTGGGTGTCAGAGTGAGGCCCTGACTCAGAAAAAAAAGAGAGAGAGAAAGAAAGAAAGAAAAAACAAAAGAAAATAGCTCCCTCGGAAACAGGGTAGACATGCAGACACTTGCCAATGGGGTAGCAAGGGCTGTACCCAATGCACTGAAGGTATGGTAGATTCCATGGAGACGGCTTCATAAACACAGGGCAATTCAACTGGGCTTTGAATGGTTAGTAGGAGTTTGCCAGAGAGGGAAGGAGTTGAGGGAGGAGGCAGAGGGAGAAGCAGAAGCAAAGCAGGAAGACCCGGGAACGTGGAGCTGTGGAACTGTCAGTGGGAGCTGGGCTGGGGGGTGGGGAGGGTGGGAAAGAAGGGAGAGGGAGAGGGAGGTGGGAGGCAAGGGTGGGTGGGAAGGAAGGGAGGGGAGGGAGGGGGTGGAAGTGAGAGAAGGACGGGCAAAGTGTCTGGGACAGCCATTGGCGCCAGGTGGGACTGAGGAGGGCTTTGCTGAGTTGGAACCTGGGTGGAGGCTGCAGGCGGTCGGGAGCCATGGATGGTTTTTGCTTTTTTGTTTTTTGTTTTTGTTTTTGAGTTGGAGTCTCACTCCGTCGCCCAGGCTGGAGTGGCGTGGCACACTCACGGCCACTCCAGTATCGACCTGCTGGGCCCTGGCAATCCTTCCGCCTCAGCCTTCCAAGTAGCCTGAATAGCCTGAACTACAGGCGCACGTTACCATGCCCAGCTAATTTCTGATTTATTGTAGAGACGAGGGCTCGCCAAGTTTCCCGGGCTGGTCTCCAACCCGCGGGCTCAGGCAATCCACTCTCCTCGGCTTCCCAAAGTGCTGGGATTACAGGCTGAGTCACTGAGTCCGGCCTATGGATGGTTTTTAAGCAGAGGAGGGACCAGATCAGAAGAGGGTGCATCAGGCATTTTTAAGGGGCTGTTACTTTACACATTAAAAACCCTATTCTGAGAAAGAGACTATCCATTGCCCTCCCAGTACTGCCAAAAGAGTTCATGGTTTTAAAAAAAGGAACAAGCCAGAATGCAGGTGGAAGATATCTCAGGTCCCTCACTTGTCATAGTGCACGGTGTAGTTTCTGGTGCCCCTCGCAGAGGGGTTGTGCCACCTCACACCCGTCCCCGTCAGTCCTTCCTTCAGCCAAGGGCCTCAGTAAGCACCTACTGCATCCCAGGCATGGGCACAGTGACAGCAGTTGCCGCCACCACAGATGGAGCCCCTGCTATGTGCACGGCGACTGGAGGGGCAGGGAAGGCCCCCCCGGCTTCAGGGAGCTCTCAGCAGGTGGCTGTTATCCTTCCTTGGTTGAGGAGTCGAACCCCTCAGCAAGCTGAGGCTAACTTCATCAAGAAAGCCTGAAAGGTGGACATTGGGTGGGCCCACTGTCCGAGGCCGTGGCAGGGCTGTCGGTTGGGTCTTGAGGATGGACCTTCAAGCCAGGACTTGGATGGCTGAGGCCAGCACTGAGCTCTCTGGGAAGGCGAGGCCCACTCCCTGCAGGAGGCCAGCACTGGCCTCCCCTCTCCCTGTCTCTCACTAGACACCATCGGACTCCACATCCGGTCCCAAGGCCAGTGGACGACCAGGCTGTACGAGTCCTTCAAGGCATTGGACTTGAGGGGCTGCGGCTCCAAGCAACTGTCGAGCAGTTTGAGGATGAGGAGTCAGAAGAGGCCCCAGGTAGGCGGCTGCAGAGGCGGGAGGGGGCTCCACCCTGGTGGCAAACCCACAGGGACCAAAGTGCCGCCTTCTCCATCAGTAAGCACCAGTCTTGAGCAACTGCTGTATACACAGGCAACTGCTGCATGTGTGGTCTGAGAACCTTCCGGAAGCCCAACCACCCCAACCCTCTCATCTAACATATCCATTAGAAAGTGGGGAGAAGCTGGGCTCAGTGGCTCAGCCTGCAATCCCGCGCCTTTGGGAGGCTGAGATGAGTGGATTGCCTGAGCCTGCGGGTTCGAGACCCGCCTGGGCAGGCGAGACCTCATCTCTACAATAAATCAAAAAAAAATTAGCCGGGCGTGGTAGCGCGCGCCTGTAATTCTGGCTACTCGGAAGGCTGAGGCGGAAGGATCACCAGAGCCCAGCAGGTCGAGGCTGCGGTGGCTGGGAGCGGCCACTGCACTCCAGTCTGGGCAACAGAGTGAGACTCCAACTCAGAAAAAAAAAAGAAAGTGGGGAGAGAGTGACAGGAAGAGAGCAGACACTGACACAGGACAATCCCACCTCCAGTCTCAGCTCTGACACTATCTGACCACACAGTCTTGGATGTGTCCTGCTGCCCTGTGGCCTCAATGTGTTCATCTGTAAAACGGAGGCGTCTCCCTCCATGGCCTGCCTTTCTCACGTGACTCCTTTTAGGACCCCTTGAAGGAAGAGTATGAGGTGTTGGGGGAACAGGCCCACGGTCCCTGTGGACCCTCCTCATCATCACCATCAGGGCACAAGTGTCCTCTGAGACCCAAGGGAACCCACGAAACTGATGAGGGCCAGTGTCTCAGAGATTCTGGGGTCTTGAGGGAGAGCGGAGCCACCCCTGAAGAGATAAGGACAGACGGGGGAAGGTCCTGGCCACAGACCAAGCAGGCAGCGCCTCTTGGTCTGGGAGACACCTGGATGTATGGAGACCTGCCCGAGGTCAGGGGAAGAAATGTCCCCAGGCCCGCCCCGCCCAGCCCTGCCATCTGGGGTTGCAAAGTCCAAGGGGGAAAGCAGGTGGATCCCACCTGGCCAGACCAGAGCACATTCCTGGACCACGCCGGAACTTTGGAGTAGGATGGGGTGGGCATGGGGGGGGGGGCGTGGAAACACGAGTGCCCTCTGCCGTTCAGCAGGGAAGCCCTGCAGGAGGCTGTCGGCTCCCAGGAAGAGCATCGGGCACTGGGTTGGGGTGACCGTGTGGGCTCGGTTTCCTGGGACCTCAGACGCCACCGCTGCAGGCAGATGGCACGATGTTTCCGGGGCAGTCAGCCTTCAGGGTCAGCGTTCCCAGTGCGCGTGCCAATGACCCAGTAATCCCACTTCCAGAACTTTATTCTAAGGTGCTGGCTGGACGGTGACCACTTACTTGTTCATTTAATGAACGCGTACCGAGAACAGCACCCATGGCTTCCAGCTGGTTGCAGATGTGGGGCTGTGTCAGTAAGCAAAACAGACACCACCCTGCTTCCTCCTGGTGGGGAGACAGACCACGAGGAAACCAGATGCGCACGGAATATACCAGGCGATAATAAATGCTGTGAACACAATAAATCAGGGCCAAGGGCTAGTGATGGGAAGAGAGGATGCTTATCACAACACAGAAAACAGAGATAGTCCACATGCCAGCAACAGGGAATAGGAAGTCGCCTAAAAAAATTAAGGAAGCCAGGCATGGTGGCTCACTCCTGTCATCCCAGCACTTTGGAAGGCCGGGGCAAGAGGATTGCCTGAGCCCAGGGGTTCAAGACCAGCCTGGGCAACTTGGCAAGACCTTGTCGTCACAATAAGTCAAAAAATTAGCTGAGTGTGGTGGTGCACACCTGTAGTCCCAGCTACTCGGGAGGCTGAAGCGGAAGGATCGCCGGAGCCCAGCAGGTCGAGGCTGCAGTAACTGTGACTGTGCCACTGCACTCCATCCTGAGTGACACAGTGAGACTCCAATTCCAAAAATTTTTTTAAAAGATGTAGTGAATAGAAAAGGCAGGTTACAAAGCAGTGTGTTCCGTTTATGTAAGAGAAGCTGTATGTGTGTGTGTGTGTGTGTGTGTGTGTGTGTGTGTGTGTGTGTGTGAGGAAAAAGTCTGGAAGGCCCAGAGAAAAGGCCTAGTGAAGTCTCATGGTCTGATTGTTTAATCATATCTGTATCATCTGAATTTTTAAAATCCAGCATGTATGCATCTTGTGACTTAAATCATACACCCATTTCTGTTTGGAAACAAGGAGGTCTTGCAGCCTCCCCATCCCTGTGCCGCCACATGGAGCGGGGTGGCCTCCAACAGGGACGTCACTGTGGAGCTGACGTCCTACAGGCCTGAGGGAGCGCCGTGGCCACGGGACGAAGGCCTGGTGTCCACGGAGACACCAGAAGGGACTCGAGCGCGGTGGGGAGCCTCGTCGGAAGCCAGGGACCTGGTGAGGCTGGGACACGGGGGCCAGGGGGTGGGGGGATGGGCCGGGAGGTTTGTCTGCCCTGGGAGGGTGAATCCTTGGAACTGGGAAGAGGTCTGAAGGGAGGCCAACTCAGGGAGGACCATACACCACCTGGGCGTCTCTGCAGCCAGCCATCCTCCAGTGATACTTTCTGCATCATATTATCTTACATCCTAACATCATTTTAAACTTAACGGTATTTCAGAGGGACTCTTTTGATTGGTATCTTTATTGGAAAAGTCAGTACTACATGCCATAGACAGAGGATAGCTCTGAAAGCAAAACAATTACAATCAATGTGATGAAATAGTATTCTTTTCTTTTTTTTTTTTGTCATAGTCTCACTCTCGCCCAGGCTGAAGGGCAGTGGCACGGTCATGGCCACCACAGCCTCAACCTCTTGGGCTCAGACACTCCTTCCACCTTAACCTCCCAAGTAACTGTGACTACAGGCGTGTGCCACCACATCTAGTTAATTTTTTAATATTTTTTTGTAGAGACGAGGTCTTACTATGCTGCCCAGGCTGGTCTGGAACTCCTGGGCTCAAGCGATCCTCCTGCCTCAGCCTCCCAGAGTGCTGGGATGACAGGTGTGAGTCACCACGCCTGCCCACAATTCCCTTTTTAGAAAGTTGCTCAGACGGGCTTCTAGGAAGTACCTAGCACTACCCACAACTATCGACTCCCTGCAGGCCTCTGAGATGTCTTCAGAGAACTCCCGGTTCTGCAACATCAAGGTAAGCAGCCCCAGTGGTGGGCAGGACCGAAGACTCCGGCTCCCACTAAAAGTCTCAGCCTCTGAGGAGGGTTACTATGGCTTCCAGCACCCAAGCTCCTCACCCCTATGGGCTGACTCCCAGCTGTCTGAGTAGCATGACCACGCCCTTCCCCGTGCTGTATATATGTGTGCAGACTCTGCTTGTCTCTCCTCCGGCAGCAGGGACAGGTGTGCAGGTGTACAGGTGTGCAGGGCTGTGTGCACTCTCCCTGTCCCCCAGCACCCACAGCACATGCCTGGCAGTGGTGGGCACACACACGGGGAAGCTGGCTGGTCCCATTCTCACCAGCTCTGCATCCTGACATGCAGGACTCTCCCAGACGTGTGCTGAGAGCACGCATACAGAAAGAGCACTGGACTGGGAGCCTCCTGGGTTCTAGCCCTGAGACAATTGTCCTGCATAAAGGGGTCCCGCAGCCCTGCGGGCATTCCCTGGTAGAAAGGCCCCCAAAGCCCCCTTTCCACCCACGCCCTGCAGTGCTACGTGGATGGCCCCTATGGAACCCCCACCCGCAGGATCTTCGCAGCCGAGCACGCTGTGCTGATCGGAGCTGGCATCGGTGTCACACCCTTCGCCTCCATCCTGCAGAGCCTGGTGTGCAGGTGGGCAGTGCACTGCCTCATCCGGAGCGTCCCGAGCGCACCCCCTCTCTTTCCTGCTCCCTGTCCTTCCCCACCTCCCTCTCCTCTCCCCTCTCTTTCCGCTCCAGCTCTTCCTCCCTTTCCTTGTTGTATCTTGTTCCTCGTAGGGTGGGCCCTGCCACCCCATCTTTGCTCCCTGTCCTGCTCCGGGATCCTGAAAAGTCTAAACCCAAAGTTCAAACTCTGGTCAGGGACCGTGGCTCATGCTTGCAACCCCTACACTCTAGGAGGCTGAGGTGGGAGGACCACTTGAGCCTAGGGGTTCGAGACCAGCCTGGACAATTGGTGATACTTCATCTCTACAATAAATCAAAAAACTCACCAGGCGTAGTGGTGTGAACCTATAGCCCCAGCTATTTGGGAGGCTGAGGCAGGAGGATCTCCTGAGCCCAGGAGGTTAAGGCTGCAGTGAGTCATGATTGAGCCCCTGCACTCCAGCCTGGATGACAGAGTGAGACTCTGACTCAAAAAAAATTAACTTAAAAAGTCCCTGACCAGGCGCGGTGGCTCATGCCTATAATCCCTGCACTTTGGGAGGCCGAGGTGAGAGGATTGACTGAGCCCAGAGGTTCGAGACTAGCCTGGGCAACTTGGTGAGACCTCATCTCTACAATAAATCAAAAAAATTGGCCAGATGTGGTGACGCATGCCTATAGTTCCAGCTACTTGGAAGGCTGAGGCAGAAGGATCACCTGAGCCCATCAGGTTGAGGCTGCGGTGGCCATGAGCGTGCCACTGCATTCCAGCCTGGGCAACAGAGTGAGATTCTGACTCAAAAAGAAAAAAAATCCCTCCTCCTGCCCTTAGGCACCAGAAGAGGAAGCGTGTCTGCCCCAGCTGCCAGCACACCTGGATGGACAGCCGCCAGGATGAGGACATGAAGCTCCGCAAGGTAAGCACCATCTCCTCCAGGCAGGCCTCCAGATTGCCTCCCCTACGGGCCAGGAGGGACAGATGACCCCTCCCCTGCTGGGATGCTCTCTCTTCTTCCCAACACTCTGACTCCTCCCAAATGAGGTCTCCTGGCCTCCTAAAGGTCTGAGCCTCCCCATCAGTGTTCCTGTCACCTCTGAGGGACATTCTGAGCATCCATTAAAGGCTGCGTAACTTGACCACCACGATGATTCAGTGACAGCCATGATGCTTACTATCCGTGACCCAGTAGTGCCTTTAAGAATGACAACAGGTTCATCTTCTGTAAGTTCACTACCCTGTCTAGGACCCTGTAAAGGGTGTCTAAAAAATAACAAACTCATCTCTTTCTGGCTAGCCTAAGCCATTACTCAGAACATGGCTTGCTGTAAACAATAGTTTACATTAGGGAAACCCCTGGCCTTGGGGCAGGACCTGGGCTCTGATCCCACACTGCTCTGTGACCTGGGCAAGGCCCCTCACCTCGGTGTTTTCCATTGCTAAATGGGTATGAGAATGTGTGTCCCGCTGACCTCAGAGTGGTGCCAGGGACCACAGACATGAGCATGCTATGGATGGGAGAGATATGGCCTCTGAGCCAGCCTCTCTTCCCAGGTGGACTTCATCTGGGTCAACCGAGACCAGCGGGCTTTCGAGTGGTTTGTGAGCTTACTGACCAGACTGGAGATGGACCAGGCAGAGGAGGCCCAGGAAGGTAGGAGGGGCAACGGGGATGGTGGGAGCCAGGCAGGAGGACCAGTGTCTTTAAAAAAAAAAAAAGCCGGGCTCGGTGGCTCAGCCTGTAATCCCGCGCCTTTGGGAG